AAATTACAATCACAAATTTAAACCGTTCATAAATATTTTATTTCACACTTCAAGTTTACAACATAATTATTAGTTATCAAAACCAGTCAACTGAAAGCCAAATTATTTGTAACAAGTTTTGAAGATCATCATCGATTACCGACTGGGAATAAACAAAGAAAATTCTTTTTAATTTTTCATCAAAACGTTGAATCCAAAGTTAGCTGAACAGTCAGAAGCAAAATTATAAAAGAAAGTTTTTAAAACTGTGATCTTAATTGCCGAAATCAGTCTATTAAAAGTTCAATTATGTTTTTGAAAGCGATGCAATCAGGTACTGCTAGCACTGTTTTATCCCCAACCAAGTACAGTGAATTAGTGAAACTGAGTTGCGGTCTTACCTTCAAAAGATTTATTAAGCCAAAAACACTGCTTTTAGAATTTTGAAAACTGAATAGATGAAGTTTTGATAGTCTAATGTTTCAACCAATAAAAATTAGCTTTGTCAGAAACATATCAATTTAGCGGTGAACAAGTCAACAAAGAAAAAACTAAAAACAACCAACAAAAAAGTATCACAATTAAGTATAAATTCAGAAAGGTTGACCTGTAGTGAAATAAGAGAGAAATAGAATAAAGAAGCGAGTTAGAGGTAATCATAAGGTGTAGCCATAAACGTTAACTTGTAGTTAAAATTCAAACTGGTTTTTTCTTTCTAATAAAGTGATTGTAACTCACCAGAGCCCAAAAAAAAAAAATTCAGATACGCAGGTGAGAAACGACGCCATCAGTAGAGGTAAAACTGGAAACTACTATTTTGATCATTCAGTATTTTCCATATATTGCTTCATTGATTACCGTAATAGTTGTTAACAGAAACGTTTCGTAGAAAAATTCGAAGACTGACAAAAATTATCGTGGATGTCAATCAAAAAAGTTTCAAATTCACTTGAACAAATGCAATGACACTGATAACAAAAAAAAAAAATTTTTTACGCTGTTTTGTTTCTACGTAACCAAATTTAAAAAGTATTACAAGCAAAGATTTGTTTCTGTTTAACAATTTTTCCTTATAAGATTCGACTAATTTATCTTTAATTTTATCATCAATATGCTTTTCACTTCTTCCTTGATTGTTTTTTTAAAAGTGTTTCTAAAACAAAGACACTAAAAGCGAAAACCTTCAACTTCATTAACTTCAAATAATTTAGTTTTTTGTAAAGCTTTTATAAATTCAAAAAAAAAAACAGTTATTTGCCTCAGCATTTGAAATTTAGCAACTATACTGGTATGCCAATTATAAAAAGTTATTTACAGAAATAATTACTGGTTGTATGAATGAAACGACGCATTAAATGAAGAAACAAATTTACCACTGCGTACAACTGAGAAAAGCCAAGTTGACATCAGTATACTGAACTGATGAACAGATAGAATGAAGCTGACAGATGACACCACCTGTATTTGTGTTCAATTAAAATTGCTATCAGTTATTAAAAAATATTGAACAAAAAAGATTGTACCTTCCAAAAGTAATCATTTAAAAATTTCAATACTGATCTGCTGAGTACAAAAAACAGTAGGCTAAGTAAACATAAATTTAGCAAAAAAGTAATGTATTAAAATCAAGTATTAAAAAAAAGTAAACAATGGCCATATAAAATGCGCAATAAAGCACTGCAAACGGTTATTCCAGTAAATCGCTTATTTTTTCAAATATTCATCGTTATTGTCCGTTGAATTTAAGCTTATCTGTCCAAACTTCTGGAACTGTTTAAAAGTTCAACTCCTCTAAAAGCTTAAAATATTCATCAGCAAAACTTAGCTTTACCATATAATACCTGCAAGTTTTTGAAGTTAATTAACACAGCAACTGCAAGCGACAAAAAATGTTTCGAGGCCATTAATATGGTTTCAGGAAAAAATTTTGAAACAGTGCTTACAGTTGCCAAAAGTTTCTAAGATCAAAGATCTTCTGCTATACTTGTGGCATCTAGTAGATCACCACCTTCTGGCAACCATTCGACTAATACAGTCAAAGAGTTTACAATATATGCATTTATTTGACAAGCTTTCATGCAAATTTAAACAAAAGATGTTTATCTAAGATGCATGAAGACTTATGATTTTATTATTAATTAACCATTTAAAACAGATTTTCTCAACAATTTATGCCCTTTGTCTAAAAAAAAAAAACTTTTTTTGATCATAACATAAAGTATTTTTACCACTTTGTGGTGTTAAGCTTAAACTAAGCTTTTTTAACTTTTGTACAAAAGTACACTGCTTATTATTTTTTTGTTGTTTCTAATCATCTCATTTTACATTCTTTAGCTCTTTAATGGGCATCTGTCATGATAAAAAAAAAATTTCCTTTTTCTCTATCATAAATCTGAACTTCTCCTAGGCTACAAAACTAAAAATTATATATCAAAAACGGAAGTTTCAAAGTGTTTATTCTTTTTTGTTTTTTTTTATTGCCCGCAATTAATTTTTTTTATTTTAACAATTGAAAAAGCTATTTTGGCGTAAAAGTTCAGGTTCCAATCCACTGCAAAGCATATAAATTTGAAAATAAAACAGAACAAACTACACTTGTTTACTTTGCTTTTTTTTTTTTTGTTGCAGCTAATGATTGTTGCATAATAAAATTCGGGACAAAGCTCGTAAAATTTATATCTTTTTTTTTCCCAGAACTGCCCTGATTTTTATGAGCTCGAGACTAAAAGCAAGAAGAAAAAAGCTGAAATTGTGCATTAAAAAGTTAAAGCTAATCATAGCGACAAATACAATAAAAAAAGCTTCATTTGTCTATCACATCTGCCGGTGATAAATTTTTAGTCATTAAATTTTTCTTTTGCAATTAATTGAAAAAAAAAAATAATTTTTTTTTCATAAGTTTGCAAAACGAACAGTTGGAGTGTAAACCACCGAACAGTAAAAATAAATTGTCAAAAAAATGTCGTTAACAGCATTCTTCTTTCTAAAATATTATAGCATTAGTCGGCTTCAAACAACACAAAGTACACCTCACTCAAATAAACAGGAACTAAAAGCCTAGCTGAAGACCAATTCCCAAAATTTTTTTACTTGAACAAACTACAGTATTTGTACGGTTCACAACTGAAATTATTGACAGACTACACCAACTGACTGACAGTGACCAATTTTTCCCAAAAATTTTGGGTAATCGGGCTTCTTACTCAATGAAAAACGACCTGAACTAAAATCCACTAAAATTTTCCTTTTTCTTCCTCAAAACTGAACATTAAGCAAGAAATTTTTTATTTTTGTTGAAAAAAAAATTTCTAACATTGATTTTTGTAGGAAATTTCAAAAAATTTGAACTCATATGTTACAGTACTTAGAAATTGAAAATTCAAAAAATGAAACTAGTGCACTTTGTTGAACTCTACAGTTCAGCAAATTTCTAGCGTTTTTAGCCTTGTCAAGCCCTACCCCGCGTTAAACAGAACCGTTCCATCGCCGGCGACCTGTGTTCAATGCTAAACCTGGAAATTCTCTTACAAAACTTGCTTGACTGTATCAATTTAAGTAATGTGCTCTCTGCCATTATTCTGTTTCATTTTATTGCTTAGAATAAAATTTTGATTTTTTTCTGCCTCACTTTTTTTCACCAGACAGTTACGTTTGTCCCTAGAAAGCAGAGCAAACTAAATCCCAAGTAATGGTTCGACCACCGTCCTTCCATATAGCATCCTGCTCAGGAAACTCTTACGCAACATTTCAGTAGAAAAAATTGTCATTACTTCTAAACCAAAGATCCTCCTCCAATTGCTGCTACAAATGAACACTTCCAAACTAAACTCATCTACTTAAAAAAATAACCATTGCGGAAAACTAGAAAATATTAAAAAATGAAGTCGCCGAAAATTTTTGCTCGTTGCAAGTATTTTGTCCACAACTAGCCATATAAACGATAGGAGAAAACAGATTATTATTCTTTCATTTTCAGATAAAACCCCCAAGTTAAGAAACATGAAAGCTGTAAAAAAACCATGTGAGTTATTATGAATCAAGACCAGCTTTTCCAAATAAAAATCGCTGTGCATTTTGACGCTGTTTTTAAAGTAACAATTTTACTCTGTATATCACAGCTCTAAAAAGTATAACAACACGACCACTGTAATTTTCAAAACAACAATAAACTCAGTTAGAAGGTAAGTTGTCACAACAATGATAATGTACTTTGAAGAGCCCTTTACCCGGCACTTTCAGAACCAAGGTCTTACTAACCATCAGTAATATATGTCAAGTTTTTGGACTCCAAATTTCCAGCACTTTACTGTAATCATCCCACCAGTGCTAGTGCAAAAAACTTAGGCGAGAACAGTAACGGCCCAAAATAGTTCAAAATAAAAGTGCATCTAGTCCCCAAAAACAAAACTTCAACTTCAGATACGCAAAAGACAAGTGAGACAAGAAAGCACGAAATAAATAAAACAAAAGGTTACAGGAGAGTCTAAAAATAAACCACAAAAAAAGTTAAAGCTAATCATAGCACCCATAAAATCAAATGGTTTATAATGTAAACCCATCACAGTAACGTATAATGAACCAAAAGAAGTTCAGAATTTCTGGCTTAACGACAGCAAAAATATTGGTTCCAACAAAACAACAACAACAACAACAAAGTAGAATCTGCAAAATACCCCAGCTGTGAATCTCCAAAATAACAACGAGGAACAATGAGATTCATTCCAAAAAGCATCGTCAATCTCCGCTAGCATCTTTAGATTTCAGTTCCTGTTCCTCCTCGCCTTTACTGCTGCCAAGCGCCCATGATTGGGCTTCACCTTTGGCAAATAGACAGAAGAATGTTGTACCAAAAGCAAGAATAGCTCCAGTAATCCAAAACACAATTTGCCATTCCTCTTTAGTACCCTATAACAAAACTATTAAAAAACCAGTATTTTTTAAAGTTCAATTTTTAAGATGCCCACCAAACATAAAACAAACCTACATTTGGAGTTAATGAGCCAACTAGCAGAGGGCACAGAATTCCTGCAATGCAAGACAGTGTATTGCCAACACCCAAAATAGGCCCCGCAAAGGTGGGAGCGATATCTAAATAGTTCACCACAAAACCAGCGTATTGCACACCAGAGATGCCTATTCCTAATGTGAGAAGAACAATGACCAAAGGTTCTTGCCCACAACCGCAATACCCAGTGGCTATCAAGAACGCTCCCTGGCCACCAAGAGCTAAATATCAGGCTATTTTCAACAACATTTACAGCACGAAGACTTTAAAAAATGAAACTTTCGACTTCCTGAAATCTAATTCCAACTTACAATTCAAAGAAAAACTGACCTATGATCATAGCTAATCGTCTAGTTGCAATAGTAGATAACACATTCGCGTGACGTAGTCTGTCAGCGACAACACCGCCAATGTTAATAAATATGAAGTAAGCAATGTATGGTATTGCGGAAAGGAAACCAAGCTAAATGACAGTAATAAGAGAAAAAACCTCATAACCGAAGATGAAATGATTACACTCTATACAGACGGGTGACAAAACTCGCAAAACCATCAATGAACTACTTCTTGTTCTGTTAAGAAATCATCGCTTACAGAAGTAAGGTCGAAACCGAGGACATCGTTCATGAAAAGCGGAAGGCTTGTAGCCATCATGTAAGCTCCCCAATCCCCCGCGAAATGGCCCACAAATAAAGCCCAGACTGGTAAAGATGTCATGATTGCCCGCCATGGCACAGGCCTCTTCTGAAACCTTATAATACTACGAAAACCTTGATGGGGAAAAATCTATAAGAACTCCAAATGACAAAACTTTGAAAGAAAATGGGAAAACATGATAGTCGAAAAGATAGGAAAGGTTCTTCAAGAAAACCTCGTTTCTCCTTTGTGTTTAATCCAAACCTTATTATTTTTGGAGCGATCCATAATCTCCTTCAAAGAATCCTCAATGTAGTTCTTCTCTTCTTGGGAAATACGTCTATGACTCGAAGGAAGATCTGACGCCCAAAAATACCAAAGTGCACACCATAGTATTCCTGCTTTGCCTAAAAATCACTATATATTGTGTCGACTTACATTAGTATAATTGCAACTAATTAATTTACTCAACTATCACTTACCAAGTACATAGTACACCGATGGCCAGCCCCCATTAAAGCCATATTTGCATAAAAGACCAGAAAGCGGCATTACCAAAGTGTTCCCAATCTGAGCTCCTAAAAAAGCACATTCAAGACCCACTAAGTTTCACTTCGCAATCACTGATCTTCATTAATAACAACGAGCACCATCAAGTACCTGCGTAAGTAATCCCCGTAAGAAGACTTCTTTCTAGCGGAGGAGCCCACATGGACCATATCGTATGAAAAGCTGGAAATGTCGCACCCTAAATCGCTACTTATAATACTTATAACAGCGATTAATAATCATTAAATTTAAATTGCACAGAAGATATACTTCGAAACAAAAAACTGTCTCAATAAAACTTGTTCTAATTTAGTAGATTCTTAAAGAAAGTGAAAACTACAGTTTCTTCTTCTCAAAATTACCTGAAATAACCCAAGTAGTGCTCTTAAAGCAATAAACGCGTAGGCGCTAGTCTTCGCTGCCGCAGGACTCAAGAATGTTAAAATTGAACCGGCAAATACTGTGATCCCGATAACAAGCTTCCCTCCGTACCTGCCTGCCAAATATCCTCCGATAACTTGACTGCACATATAGCCCCAAAAAAATGCACTAAGAACATATCCTTGAGTTTTTTTGGACCAAACTAACTCGCCACTAACCTGTAAAATTAAAGGCTGAACAACAAAACACCCTTGAAATGCATAGCTTAATTTGTAAAAGGTTAGGTCAGAAAAGTAGAAAATCAATTACCTTCTCGAGAATTTATGAAAAAAAAACTGGAGATATGGATGGATACCAATATTATCCCTACAGTCGTACTTGCAGCTAATCCGCAAAAAAATCACCACCAGACGGTAGAGATATGTGAAATTTGTAACAGATACCAAAATATGTATTTTTTGTATAGTAGTGTCCAAAATAATTTCATCTTCTCGAGTGCGAAATTTAAATTACATAAATCAAAATGAAAAATTTGAAGGCTAATCTACTGTAATCAGAAGTGAAGAGAAAAAAGTAAACTGTTTTACGTAAAACACAAAAGGAAATTGCAAACGATGAAGAAGTACGTGAATCTTCCTGAATACAGTAAATTTTTTGTGACTGTAAATAAAAGCAATAATTAAGGTAAAATAACCGCAGACGATCAAGTAAAAAGGGTGTTAGAACTAAACTAAACCTACTGAATTGTCCTCAGCTTTCTCTCCGATAGGTCGTACACCACAAGAAGATATTCGTTTAGAGACTGTACCCGACAAATTGCCTTCCGTTTCGGCCAGTGCCTCAACTGCAGTCCCGTTAACCATGCATACGATTGCGAAGCTGACATCACTTCGTAGTGCATAAACCACAACACAACCCAAAAATCCAATTAAGGCCAAGTTTAATCGAGAAGAGCCAAGAAGCCCTGGAATTTATATGTCATAAAAGTATTTCTTAGAACAGAACAATAAATAATTTCAGTATTAACTAGGCGTGACAGAAAAATGATCAAAAGAGGCTTTTTAATTATGTACCTACAACCAAAAAACGTAAACCCTATCAAAATATTAAAAGAAAGGCATAATATTTTAGAGACTTCCGTAACCTTCAAACAAACAGCACAGAAGAGCCTTTGAAAAGAAGGAAGTCAAAGTTAAAAAAGGGGGGAAGCAAGGAATAAAGTAATACATGCCATTCAAATTTTCGCTTTGGCATGCTGAGCTTTCTGCTATCAAAAGCGCTATGTTAGCATAAATAATTGGGCAAGCCACCACTGCTGTAACCAAAAAGGAATGACTCCGCTGACTCAACTTTCAAAGGAACAATTATTTAAACTGTTAGTTGAAAAAGCCATATTCTCCATGTCACATTATTTTTTCAAATACAAAAAGCTACCACAGTTTTTGAGGAACGCCTCACAACTGGGTGACAGGCTTAATGTTCTTAATGTGGCGCAAAGACAGCGCGATAAAAAAGGTAACGTCAGAAGGTTCAGTGGCCTGTCAGACCAACCTTTTTAATGAGATTTAATTGATTAAAAGTCTTCGTATATTACGAAATTTATGGAAGTCACTGAGGATGCTAAGAGAGGAAAGGAATACTTCGAACTGCAGAGCTACAGGGGTCAGTCTTCATGCACCAGCGGACCTGTATACTAGTCCAGTTAAA